CTTGTCTAGCTATAAGGTTTCCTTCCTTACTGCTTGTCACCAGCGATCGAACAAATCATATTAGTGGACATATCCCTTTTACATATGTAATCGTTTACAATACTGCTGCGTTAGTAACCGTTAACATTAGTAGAGGGTAACTATTACGGGATTTCCTTTATGTCACAGATAAAATTCAAGATTTATAGCGGATGTCCGCGACTTTGTCTGTGTCGAATGATATGTTTCATACAAACTGCCACTCCCAATTTTACCACCTCAAGTTTAGTTTTACTAAAAAAAGTAACATATTATGTGCTTCTTCTACTCTCAATTTATCTCCATTCCCGATTCATGAAAATAGACTAGACGTAAAAGTGAAAACTGTCATATTATTATGGATAACCGCTTAATCATCCATTATCCTTGCTTGGACGCCAGATTTTTCAAAAGCGAGCAAAGCAAAAGTACGCGTCACATTAAACATCCTAGTCACCTTGCTATGTTAAGCTAAGCTAACCTATCTATGGTCGAACGATAGAAAATGCTTAAGAACTGCACAGTATCGGAAATAGCTATAATCACTGCAGTTTAAATGTTAGGAAGCATTGCTATGAGAATAAATTTATAAGTACAAAAGTGCGAGTATATTTCATTTGTCTTATGGAGTTATGGCGTAGCATCTATCATCCCTATGTGTACCTCTTTTTTTTCGCCAGGCAAATGCGTGACGACGTATACCCCGCCACCTGGAAGTGGCAACGGGGTTATGTGGAACTCCTCCCGACCCCTAAAAACCAGATGATGCCCATCACCTCCCTCGGTCCACGGTCCCAACCAGCGTGGCTGAGACAACGGCACTAGATGAGGCCACAGGAACCCTTACGGAGTCTTCCGCGACGTCACCAGTGAGCGTCCAAGTCGAAAGGACAAATCCGTCTCCCCCCGAAAGAGGGGATGTGTTGGGGATGCCACGGGATCCCTGCGTGAACCTGCCTTGTAAGGGTTGCATTACGTAATACAAAACAAATGCAGAATGTGTGAATGTTAACTCACAGTACACAGTTACGTTAAACAAAAACCGAAAATTGTTGTATTGTGCAATATTGGTTGGTTATTTGCTGGATCGACTTGAGTAATACATGTACAATTTGCTCAAGATACTTGTTACAAAACCGTGTAAAGCGTAAGTCTACATTAAATTGAACGTGCCGCATTATATCTAATTAAAACGACTAGTGAAATGATAATAACGCAGTATCGACGGCATGTGAAATATGTCGGCAATTGCAGATTTATTCAGCCAACTTAAACCAATTAATAACGCATGTGTAATGTCTGTCCTACTTTTGAACAATTCAGTAGGAAAATATGTCAAGCAAACTGTTCAGAAAATAAAACTGCGAGAGTATGCAGTGCAGGAGACGGGATGCAGCATTAATTAGCTAGCTGGCCTTGGGTGCGAAGTAGAAATGCACTCCGATTAAAAAGAGATCAGTTTTAAAAAATGCAGTTTGCAGCAAAACATTTCAAGAGAAATAGAGAATACAGAGGAAATAGCATTGTTGATTTGGTAAAAATATCGTAGACACATCGTAGATATCTTAAATTAATTATATTATTTATTATGCTAATGGGACCGATTCCGGAATACTTCTCTAAACCTAACACTTTAAACTAAACAGTCTTTCCTTTTTATTCTTTATAGAGCATGAGAAGGATTCCTTGTCAAATTTAATTTAAGGTTCAGAGAAGGATGCCAGAATCGGTCCCGTTGTTTCTGAGAAGCTGATTAAGTAATAATTTTATGATAATACGACACTTTTGAAGATAGACTTTTAATTATTTACTAAAGAGTTAGTTACGGGTTGATGGGAAGGAGTGGCTGTGAAACAGTGAAACAAGTATGCTTTATGTTAGATCGATAGCGGACTAACGAGTCTAGACGTGCCTACCATGAAACCAATTAACTGTAAAAGGTTGGGTTATGTTATGTCGTTCGAGCCGCACTCGGGTTGCAAGCCAGGAATAAGGGAAAGTGAGGGTCATCGGACTCGGCTGCACCTGCACGTAATAATTGAGTTCGAAGCTCTTAAAGAACTTCGGGTGGGGGAGGAGAGCGTAGCATCAAAAGTTCAAATGGCACAATAATGGTTTCATGATGTGGTAAGATTACATAAATCAGACCTCTCGTAAAAATTATATTAAAAGATAAATAACCTCATTAAATACTTTATAAGAAATAAAACATCAGTAAAAAGATTTAATTTTAAAACAGTGTGTTGTAATAAGCCACAATACAGTTCAATATTTGAAAAAGTGGTCCAATAGTAGCACCCAGCGTGATGCCTTGACCCAGTTGGTGACCTGAATGAATCCAAACTGGGCTAACAAATACTGCATCGGTTTGTTAAAATCTGTTATAGTAAACACCAATATACGGTTTAAGTAAAATAAGTATAAATGCGTGTTTATATATAGAGAGAACATTATAATAAAAAGGGCTGTTAAGATATTCAACGACAAATCAATAAAGTGATGGATGTGGTGAAAGTTATTAGAATAATTTAAAGCATTCATTGAAATGTGGAAATCTTTTCATTTTACGAAAACCGGAAATGGAAAGTGGAAATAATACGATGACATGATATGCCGTCCAGATAAAACAAAGTTGGCTTGAATAGAAATTGAGTAATAGCAAGTTTCATCCAATAAAATTGTCCGTGGAAAGTTGTAAAGGTTGGTAAAAGTTACCGATCGGGATTATGCTATTTATGACAACGGCAATGTGCACTCCTTCGCTCTACCAAAGACATATGATATTGCTTTGATCAAGAATAAGCGGTGCCTGTCATTGACTTCGTTATACTCAATATATTAACTGGTACTTTTACGAGAATACAAAATATTAATTTGTTATTGTTCAAAAAAGCAGTCTCTCTCATTAAATCTAGTATTTGACGTAATGCCACACAATTAAACAAAGAACAGATAGTAACCATGTCATATACACTTGTGGAAAATTACTCATAGAATAAACGTGCAATATTAATAGGTGATTAAAGGACATTTGTAAATAAATGTCTATAACTATTGTTTCGTTTGTAAATCATTTTATTTCTATAGACCAAGACATGAAATAATTTACAAATAGCGATCAAGTGTGTGTCGGAATAGCATTACAGACGTAGGTTTCTAGTGGCATGGTGTATGTTTTAACATGAAGTTAAAAATTTAATGTTATCTCTTAGGTACATAATTTTGCACGGAATGTTTAGAATACTTCCTATGACAGCATGGCGTGGATCCGCCAAAGCATAAGTACAATACAAGCACAAAAACAAAAACTTTAGTCTTCCCGAAGCCAGGTGGTCGCAAGTACTGATACTAGAAAAAATAATGATAACTCTGTTGGTTTTTACATTACATTAATTCCAAGAACTTTACAACTAATATAAAATTCACAAACTGCATGTGAAGCGAGAGCTGACGGATGCAAGTCATTGTCCTGAACGCCTATGACGCACAACATTGTATAGCCAGGCTTTAAAAATAGTGTGAAATATGATAAAAGTATGAAACATTCGAGAACATACAATATTGTTCTCACATAAGCAGATATTGACCTACTATTCTCGATCTCAATTGAAATATTGCAGACATTAAACAATTATATACAAAACTTATTGTTTTTAAATATGGATTTTGGTAATGAACATTAAAAAAATGCACAAAATAAATCATGTGATGGTGAATCTACACAACACGGAAGTACAAATTCAACGCTAAGTGGCAAAAAATTAATAGTTGAATTCTATCCAATCTTATTTCTTACATAATCAAGTTTAAAACTTTTTACGATTATAAATGATACGTTTAATAATACTGACGTCGTTCAACTCATCAAACAAGCAATTTATCATAGTGCAACTAAAAGTTGTTATAAATTACGCAATTTTAAAACGAATAAGTGAAATTATGTAAGCTTTGCTTCAGATATTCAATTGATTCCTTATTATTTTTTTTGTAAAGTAGTAACCTAAAAAAAATTATAAATGAAATTTTCTCGGTGCGTCAGGTAATTGATCAGGTTTCTCAGGTCTCTACCTATAATAATTATATTTGACATTTCAGCTTGTTTGGGGCGTTGCGATGAGTAAAACGAAGGCGAGGCTCAAGATGCCAGTGAAAATGTTGTCTTTGTCATAATTAATAATTATGTCCGAGATAAGAGCATAGTCGCCGCCGGCCGCAGCTCCTGACACATCGAGAGTATTCGTGTTAATTGTTCGATTACTTGTTCTTGTAAAATGTTAACCTTTTTCCCGTGAAAAGAAAGTTGTAGTTGCGCCTCGACAAGTGTGTATTGTGACAGATAGTAGAGATTGACTTAATTATTAATTCTCTTAATAAAATTTCATTTTAAAACAATACTGATGAAGAAAAAAATTTAAGCACGATGATAAACAAAAAGCCAATCAAAAAGATCGAACTGCAATTGAGGAGGGTAAAGATAGGTAGCATGAGGGATACAAAATTAGCCTTTTTGTTGACGAAACAAACGGCCATTTGCCATATTCGACGAGTTCTACCCATACAAGGCTAACTGGCGGAGCCGGTTCCTCTAACAATATACCCGTTTTGGTAGAACACGCAGCGCCTAATGTCTATAAATTGTATAAAGAATATTACTAATGCTGATGGCATTAGAAATTCGTTACTAACTTAATTGGCTTACTAGTGCTCAGTGACAAATGCGATACAGTATCAATTATTATTCCTTTTGGCTTTTGATAACATGATATTTTATTCAATATCATAAAAATAATGAAGCACGTATTATGTATTTTTAAGTGTTTAATTGCAAAAATTAGTTAAAAAAAATGATATAACTATTTGAAGATCATTTCAATTCTATAGGCTTTGGAGACTTTAGAAAACAGCAGAAGAGTGTTAGTTTTAAATTGAAAAAGAAGTAGATGTGCACCATTCTGAAACAAACGGAAGGTTTAGTGTCTCACCTTGGTGTATGTTGACTGGTTGGTCGCTCAAAATCTGCAATAACAAAATGAAAATGTTATTAGTACTTAAATAGGTTGGTAAAAAGCACATAACTACACCAATCTCACATATCCACTAAAGTGGTTATAATTAGCAAATTGCCACCACATTCAGAGAACCAGTTAGCAATATGTAACAGTACATTACTCAATCACTAATGACAGATATTGGCAATAATTGAAATTATAGGAAGTCGAATGAGGAAGAGTATAACAAGCATAGAAGCACGAGATGAGAAAAACTGCTCTCCCACAAAACATACAGTATAATTTCTGCGAAGTAGGTGTTCTGTCAAGAACCAGGAAGCTTAACGGCTATTGTATGAGATCAAGCGCATTGACTGTATTTAAGGAATATAATGTTCATTTGTTCAAGATACTGTTGCGACGTGAGACTTCTGTTTGGTGCTACTTCTGTATGTAGATTATACGCGACAGAGGTAATAACATGTAAATTCTAAGCGATTTGCATTGATTCAGATTTTGATAAAAAAAAGTATACTGAAGCTAAAGAACTACATAGGTAGTTCGTTAGGTTTTTTTTGTAGGTTCCATCGCAGTCTGTTAAAATTAACTTAGTATGTTCAGCTAAAGAGGCCTGATTAAGGATAGGTGATTAAAAATTTACTATCTAGACTCCAGATAACATTTTCTCTAGATTCTAGAGATTTTCTATGCTTCGGCAGGCAAATAAAAACGTTGGACCCGGCTGTATTTGCAGTCGTGAGAGCCCACCAATCAGCACTTAGCCCGCATGGTGCGTCTCCCTCTTCCATCCATGGGAAAGGTCTGTGTTTCGTCCAAGCCCCTGCCCCACAACTGGGGATAAAATTAAACATAATATTCTTTTAATAAACGCAAATAAAGAAACTTCAATGCCGTCACGATAAACATTCATTTATTTATTGATGATTAACTAATGTTAAAAACTAGTCTATACTATCACTGCAGTGCATGTGGCTTTTTAATATATGAGTTTATCATAAATAAAACTAGGATCACCGTCATATTTAAAAGAGAAGGTCATTGGATTTTCGTCGCCAATTACAAACTTAAAATAGGTAAGGTTAACAGGTTAATAACTATGTGTATAGTAATATTATACAATTATAATTTCAACCAAGTTATGACATTCTACATAATAGAATAAGCCAGATAACGATACAATGGCGGTGCGTGTGGGAGCAGCACATTGTTCCCATGTTTGTATGAGTGTGTAACACTCCACATTCGGTGGTAAAAACCGGCGTACATTGCTGCTGTTATTATCATTGTACACTGTTAAGGTGCACTTTTGCACGACACGTTCCACTTGAATTGAAAAGCATAAAATTAGCGAGTGGATTGAAAATTTATATGATGAGGAGTAAGTGATTCATCAAAATAGTCAAGTATGTCTCAAAATATTCTCCATTGATAATATTAATTAGGCGGTCATCTTTTTCATTGCTGGAAGAGGCTTTTGTAGAGAGAATTAATGAAAGCCTAAAACCAAGTTCACCACAAACACCTAACTGATAAAAATTTTAACCTAACTAAAATTTTAAAGAACTATTAAGTTCTTTAGCTTCAGTGTACTTTTTCATAAGACTACCGTAAGTGAGGGTTACTTTAGCTCGGGCTGGTAACTTTGTCCCAAATCAGAAAAAATATTGATCTTGCCGCCCCATCAGTATCTCTTGGGTGACCGTAATAGTTCCAGTTGAAAATCACAGATAGCCATATAGGCGCGTAATGTGGTGTTCTTTTACCGACATCGTTCCTGTAACAAGTTGTCATTGTAACGCGGGATTTTATGTAACTGAAATAGTTCGCAAGTTCATACGCAAACTTTCTCAAAACTGTGGTTTTCGGTAAGTTTACTATGTTTTCTAAATTTAATGTTATATTTTTTAATTAACTTAAATTGTGCATTCAGAATGCTAATGGTGATCTGTTATAAGGGTTCCTTAACCCCAACATGGCTTAAAATGAGTTTTTTTCACAGAGAAAACTCAACGGGCTAAAGTAACCTCATTAAGGCCAACTTTGGCCCAAAATAAAAAAAAACTTACGTAGATATGCAATATTTCAAATGCGCCAAAAAATTGTGTATATTGATTAATATAATACTTAACTATTTATCTTTTGCAATTTTGTGTCTTACGAACACTCCAACTAATACAGCTTCCTAGTCGGCTAATTTACAAATTTCATCTAATCTAATACCTAAATTCTAAAGTCGATCGACACAAATGCCATGATTACGTAGTTTTATGCTTGGAAAACCTCACAATATCGTTGTTAAATTAATTGTATTTTCGTAAGCTAAGCAGATCAAAATACCATTAGAAAATCTCTTATCTATTAGACAAGTCCGTCCGTCCGTCTGTCTGTGGTGCTATTGCAGCGGCCAAACCGTAAGAGATAGATAAAGAGAATATTTAAGTTATAAGTTAAGAATAGTCTGATAAGACTACAAACCGGATTTGAGTAACGTAGCACTTCCGGTTTTCGAGAAATCACGAATTTCAAACGAAACCACACAAAATCTCCGAAGTTCTGAATTAATTAAATAATTTTTTTTTTAATCAGGTTTTGGTGAACATTTGGTTCACTGGTTTGCTAGTAAATTGATAATTGAAAAGTCAAGTGTCACGTAGTATTAATAAGTATATAATTTTTTATGGTCACATGTTATTTAACGGCGAAGAAAGAAAGCTAATTTCAACTCGTTACTCAAGCGTGTCTGTGCATTGAGATATGACCTGACGATGTTAACCAAACTTCACGAGCAATCGGCTAAACGTTATGTCAATAATGATTCATTCATTTCTACGTGTTCGCATGAATGATAGCTTGCTAACGAAGAAAAACATACCGTAGTTCAATGTCGGTAAAGACATTTCAACTTGGCAGGTGTTAACTGTCGGTTTTGCTGATCTGTGCGGTTTCTCCCAAACATGCGCTTGCGCTAACGACGTGGTGCATGAATCAGTGGACTCTTGCCGAATCAGTGAATAAATAGTAGGTCAATGTAGCGTATGACAAGCTCATTTCCAATACTAAATACGGATATGCGCTTATCAATATGTATTTACAAATAATAGAATGACGATTGAAATATTGACACGATAATCGACGATACTACCACTTACGATTAACGGAAAATCGACTTTTGAGTTCAAGATCAAACAAAAAGCAAACGTGAGTGTGGTGGAACTCTCGGTTGGAACGGAAGGATGAAATGTTCAGACATCCGCATTATAGGATTTGGCAAAAATTATAATGATGTTAAAACCACCTTGTATTTCAGCCGGTACCTAATCATTAACACGAGTGATCCTGATAGATAATACAATACACTCTATTGTACACCACAGAAATTATTACAATAAATACAATGCCATTTCATTCTAGTGTAACAATGGGCGGCCTTATCGCTAAGAGTGCACTCTTCCAGACAACCTTAGTTATTCAAAAGGTTTAAAAACAATTGGAATAACATTGACCATAGCGACTTCAAAACTTAATCATCTATCTACGAGGTGCAGAAAGGTTTATATTTTGTGAAAAACAGCTGTTTTCCTGTTTCCTTGCGTGATGCCAGTGATGACCTATAGAAGCGAAACGTACTCCTTTACACAGCGATGCTCGGTATTTCCCTACGCGTAAGAATCAGAAATGAGGAAATCCGCTCTGCTGAAGTGGCAGTGAGCGGGACACATAGCAAGAAGAACCGATGTCTTCAATGACGACTCCGCACCGGATGACGTTAAGACACCCTACGAGGTGGACCGATGATCTTGTAAAGGTCACGGGAAGTTAGGATGCGAGAGACGAAGGACCGTTCGGAGTGAAGATCCTTTGCTCAACAGTTAGCGTCGTACGGGTGATATGATTGATGATGATTATGAATAGACGCGGTGAAGTCCCTCAACGGGGATTTTGCGGTTCCGCACTTAACAGCGCAGAGGGTATTCGCAGGGTTTTTTAGCGGACAGTGTGCCGCAAGCGCCCGTAAGCAGCACGGACTGCTTAACGGCTTTTCCGTTTCGCACGCGTGAGACTTGCGAAAGGTTAGGTGTGAGGTCCGTTCGTCGTTCCTTAAGGGAGACGTGTGTTTTGCCTGCGTAATGAAAAAAAAAGGGGGGGTTAGTGCCAGGGCACACTATACGTTGCGGCGGCGCCGAAGCGATGTCGCTGCGTCATTTTTTATAACCTTGTTCACATATTACGCAGTATGGCTAAGAGACTGATGGTCATCTCTCATGACATCTCATCTTTAATATTCTGTCTGCCCCGCTAGATAAAGACAACGGTCGAATAGTAGATCGGAGGTCCGGTTTATTTTTTACAGTTATTTGAACACAAATTATTAAGCAGTTAATAAATGACTTTTCATTGGAAAGCTCTTACGTAATAAGAAAGGAAATAACATTAATTTCATTAAAGTCAATTGGTCACGCCGACTACGCAGCAATTTGCACTAAATAATGCCAAAAAAAAGATGTTTTTATTTTTCCAAATTTTACCTATATACCACGTCAGTATTTGTAATAGTTACGTTTATTGAAATTCCAAGGTACGTATTTTTTTTTTACCAAAATGAATCATTCTTATTATGCAATCAATACTCGAGTAAGAATCGAGATAGGTATATTTAAATTAAATTGCCGACAAAACCATACGCATGACGATTAGATACAGATGTAATGCCTAATTACAATCATCACGCCATTAATTTTCCAAATTACAAGATGGCGTGTAAGTATTTTATGGATTTAAGACTGATAGATGCAATTAAATACTTATTGGATATTATGTAATTGTATTTTTCTCAATTTACAAGTTTCGCTTTTTGAATGTCTGTAGATATAATAACCGTACGATGTTATAGAAAATATATACCTCTTTATCATCATCATACCACTACCAAAGATTTAATCTTTTCCCTATACTGGGACACAAGTCATCCATGTGGAAGGAGTAGGGAAAACGGGTTATGACCCACTA